CATTACCTCCTCTAGGCTGCGGTTGTTAGAATGATGTATTGCAGTAGTTTTCACTACATTGTTTAATTAAATGTAATAAAAAGTGTCATATTCTAAATAAAAATAAACATTTTTAAGTATAAAATTGTAGAATTAATTATTTTTTATTCTTTATAATAAAATTATCTAAATAATGTAAAATTAACAAAAACTAATAACATCAATTAAATAATGAGAAATTACAGACCAAGTCGAAATTGAAAAAAATCTTTGGTAGCACGCTTTTGATTTTGTAGAATACATAKTCGGGAACAAAATTTTTGACTTTAGGGCCGTGTTCTCCAAAGTGAGCCTAGAAAGAAGCCAAAAAGATGCCCTTTTATGATTTCTTGCTTATATCTCCAGAACGGTGCACAAAGATAATAGTACAAAATTGACGTTTATAAAATTTTCTAYAAAACTTTGGTTTTGTTTACTTTTTGTATCTTAAATACTTTTTGAGATATCCGCTAACAATAACATTGCACACATGTATTCTTTAARAAACATATTTTGTCTCACTCTGCATCATGGTACCTAAATTCCAAAAGAGATTGTAGCGAATTATTGTTGGTGGTCGATTGCAAATTATACTGTAGGCTACTGCAGCTTGTAAGAAACATCCTTTTTTTTTACCTCTCTCCAAGAAACTGAACTTATGTTTCACTTCTTGTATAAAAATGTTCAGATTTGCCAAAAAAATTTAATTCCGTATTTTGGTGGTCACTTTCTTTTATGTTTATAAGCACACGGAATAGATAAAACACTAAAATCTTATTTCTAATTTAAGGTTTTTAGATTTCCGTCAAAATTTTCACAATAGTCACAACAAATACTGCAAAAAAGCACACACAACTTTTTCTATTACATTTTTTAATTATTTTAAAATCTAAAGTGATTGGCTTCTTACGTTATTATAAAGGCCGACCGCAAAAGAACGAATAGAATTGCATTAAAGTTTTAAATGAATTCAAACATCTAAAATGATTGGTTTTTTACATTATTATAATGTCCCATCTCATACGATCCAATCAGCATGCTTACTNCATTAAAGTTTTAAATGAATTCAAACATCTAAAATGATTGGTTTTTTACATTATTATAATGTCCCATCTCATACGATCCAATCAGCATGCTTACTCTTACTACTTTTACGCAATCTTTACGTTACTTTATTAACGTTTTTTTTAATTATTGGTACCTGTGACAAAACATAGTTAAGTTTAAAATTAAACTTATAATTTTTTTTACAAAATAATCCTCTTGGGTTTAATATCTGAAATATCAAACCTTGCAATGCATTTTCATTAACAGACAATAATTAATTACCAACTCTAATTTATGAAAAAATGTAGGAACGCATTTATACCTATCATTAATCTCTATACGCGAGTGCGAGTATAGATAAACTTAGGTAAAATAGGTAGGTCTTGTAATTGTTATTAAAAAATCAAACATTAAAGTACATACCTATGTCAGTGCTAATCGCAAAAAATTGATCTCTTAAGAAAAATATTCTTTTATCAATATAAATATATCAAAACAATGAAGCAAAAGTACTATAAATTCTAAACGACCTAAGAATTTATCAGTTCTCTGAAGTTCTCTAGTTTTACCAACATGGCAAAATACGCTATTTTGCTTTGTCCGTATCAATATGTCGTCCTCGAAAAAAAAACATTTTCTATCAAAGAAAAAATATCAATAATAAGTTCGAAAGTTGTAAAAATCAAACTGTAATCTGCAAAGAGAAAAATTTTGCCAGTTCTACATTGGCAACAATTTTAAAGAACATGGACAAGATTAAGAGTCAACTGGTGAATTTTCGTCAGAAGTGAAAAAGTTACAAACTGCTAAAAATGCTAAATTAGATAAAACCGTTCTTACTTGGTTCAAAGTGAATCGCGAATCCAATGTGCCCATAAGAGGGGCCATGTTAAAAGAAAAAGCAGAATAATTTGCAGAAAAAACTTTTTTTATTCAGTTATAACGAGCAAATACGTTGGCCCCTTGAGTTCTCGTTGTAGAAGGGTTCTACTGTATCACTAATATCTTATACTGTTTCTATAGTGCATTTAGGCTTACCTCTTATGTTGCCGTTACCATACGCTCTTCTATAAAAAAAACGTCGTAAATGACAACGTATAAAATTTCGGATCCAAAATTAGTGCTGGAAAAAATGTTAATGGCAACACAACTTTTATATTTAAAAATCTCGATCTATTAAGAAGCGATATCTAACAGTTTTTTTAAACGATTTTTAAACTCTATAAAACTCTTGTCGTCTTAATAGCTATTAATTTTTACAAATTTTTGATCTTCTTTTAAACCTTTAAACATAACTAAGTCAATTTAAACTATCATTTTACTCACATTGTCGAAAAATTTTCTATGTAAGTACATAGAACCTAATTTTTAGTGTCAAAATTTTTCTAATTATACTCGTACCTTAAAACTAGTTTGAATTGATCAATCGATAGATACCTTTTCTTGTAGCTTTCAAATATTACCTATTTTTGTCAACTATATTGGCGATTTATTTTTCTTCTTATTTGAAAAAACGAATTTTGTTATTTTTGATCTTTTTCATCACCAATTGTAATCACAATTAAATTAAAAATCACATTTAATTTGTTTAAGATTGAAATTAAGAAAAATTAGACAATAATTTCGATTTGGATTGTTTGGTTTTGAATTTTCCGAAAATTTTAGTTATACCTAGGTGATTTTTTTTGGTATAAATATACAATTTTTAATGTTCTAAACACTGTTAGTACTTATTTACAATAAAACATTGTTTGTTTTAATACAATTTGGTAAAGTTAGTAAATGATCAACGTTCTAAATTGTTTGCTACTAAATGTAGCTAAATGCAGTTAACCAAAAAACCTTGTTTACCTAATTGATTTATATTTTATAAAAGTATGTATGTAGTTTGAAGTATTTTAAAGAATACTTAAATCAATAAAAATAAGGGAAAAGCTACACATCATAGAGATAAATAAAGTGAATTTAGATCATAAAAAATCTATTTTTGTTATCAATCTATACCAAATAATGCAATAGAACGTGTTCTTTTAGTTTTACATAAACTGATACTGTATTTGTTTTGATATTGGTACGAGTACCAGCATTGATTGAGAACCAGTATCATGAGTATTGAATATTATTATGATTTTACTTATTATCAGATCAATATCTATATACGGAAATTGAAATAAACAATGTAAAAATTGCTAAAAGCACGTAGGTTTTATATCATTCAATAAGACAAAGATTTAGGAACAATATAAAACCTGAAGAAGTTAAAACATCTTCAGTTCAACCAAGCACTCGAATCGTATCATCTAAGATGAAATACACAGCTATTGCAATTCTTCAAATTATTCTTTTGAATAATGTAAATAGGATATTTTAATTTCATTCAAATTTTCAATTTTTTTTATTTTTTTAAAGGTTTATTCTTGTTTCCTGCCACCATCTGCTCTACCCTGTGGTCTTCCTGCAGCACCCAGTTTAGGCTGCGGTCTTTCAGCTCTTCCAGCCGCTCCAGCTTTTGGTTGTGCTCCTCCACCAATGTCGGTATTACCTTTACCATGTCCTGCACCAGCAGCTTTACCACCAACATGTGGAATGCCTCTCTTTTCAAAAAAATCTTTGTTACTTTCAAAACTACTTGCTTTGAAAATGAAAGTAAGTATTCTCTATTTTGTAGCCTACATTTTTTTAACATTTTTCTTTAGTTGGGACTTGGACTTTCTTCTCTTGGTGGTTGTGGCTTGCCTCCCTTAGGATGTGGGTGTTAAAGATAACACAATTCACCCACAACTTTTTACGAATGCAACTTATTGTACTATGTTCTACAAAATATTGTTTGCTGAGTTTATAAAATAAAACAATGTTTTATTCTTTAAAATATTGAATACTTTTTCCCCTACGCCTACTTTAAAGAGAACGTTATAAATGGAGAGATTTTGAAGTAAAAATAATTTTCTCTTTCTTTTTCAATACCCAGATCGAAAAAAACAGAAAACATTTTCTACTTTTTTTAAAAAACCTACTAAGTTAGGTTTCTTTGTTTTAAAAGCTGTTGAAGCCAAAAACTCTGCATTTAGGTAAGTTGTCTTCCAATTTCTATAACTAAGATAGAAACCTTCTCTTTTGTATTTTTTATTTTTTTAGTGGATAATAAAGGTTTTATGTGAAGACAAAAACAGTATTTAATACCAAAAGTATTTATCTTTATTTCACTTTAATTTTTATAAATGATTTGACAATGTTTACACAAAAATTAATTTATCAGCGCCTGCAGCCGCATCCATAATTTCGCACAGCTGACAAAGGTGTCAGATTAAATCCCAAGCTCGATCCCAAACCTAGGCCTCCACAGTTTTGCATATTCAATAGTGACGCCAACTAAAATAGAAAAAAATATAATTTACTCGTATATAATAAACCACTAAAAAACTTACTTTTTGGCTTATACAGCTTGGTTTTGGTAGACAAGGTGGTGGTCTAACTTTCCTCCTTAATATAGGCAATAAAGAACCTCTGTTATAATGACATGAAGAAGTCGGAGGTGCAAAGAATGAAGGCGATAAAATTCCCAGTTCCTTACAAACAGATGGAGGTGGAATTCGTGGTGGTGGTGGTGGAGGTGGAGAGGGAGGAGAATAACATATCGGTTTCTGGATTCTTACAGAGGGAATATAATCTTCATTATACAATTTGGAGGGAGCTGGGTCATAACTAGGAAGAGCAGGAAGTGGAGAAAGTGGAGGAGCAAAATCTGAGCTAAAATCACTAGGAGAATTATCAGGCTTGTCACAGCCACAGCTGCAACAAATAATCTGACAAAAGTATAAGTGATAAACAAAAAAATTAAATTAAAAAATAATTTACTCACATCTTTGATTAAGATAAGTTGTAGAAATACAAGAGGTAATACGTATTTTGCCATCTTGATAGAATGTTTCAAGATTCATATCTCCACTTCTTTTATATCAGTTTTTGTTTATTCTTTAGTGTTTATTTGTAGTTGTAATACGGATATGTTGCGCTTTCTGTCAGGTTTCTAACTATTTTTTTCTTGCTGGTATTCGTACGTGTGCAAAATCAAAACACCACTCTATCAGACGTCAAAAACCTTAGGGTTAATAAACTTATCAAACCATCTTAAATTTTATGTTTATTAAAAAAGCACACACAGTCATCTGCTTGATACGAGAATGCATAAATTTAAAAAATAAATGTAGGAGCTTTTAGGTGTACGTATATTCACAATGATAAGGTCGTTTCTGTTATGTCTCGTGTTAATTCAAATCTTTTTTATTTTATGGTGCTTGTGGATTTGGGTCTCTGTCCCAATTTTGAAAGTGTGGATAAGCTTCATTGTAGTAAATTGTTGTTTCTGGTTTATCATTCTTTTCTCATAGGTAAGTAAATCATAAGTAAGAAAACCATTTTAGTACATTATATGTAATCTCAAATTTTTTAATAGTTTTAGATTTTCCAGTTTTCAATAAAAAAAGGCTCGTTTGTTGATTTAAACAAACAAAAATTTAGGTACACAATAAACCAAAGTATTTAAAATAAATTTTATTTAGTCATATATCGATCTAGTATATCCATTCATCTTAACATAATCCTACAACAAAATAACATAAATAACATCCAGTTTTATAATCGTACGTATACAAGAATTTAATAATTTATGTAAATAATTTACTATTGTTTTTAAAATTTAATTTACAATTAATTACAGGGTACTTAAATTACTTTCTCATGAACTGATTGACGAATCACAAAACTTATATTTTTGTTGGCTAATAAGTGAAGAGTAAAGAGAAATTAAAACTTTTCCACCGGAACAAAATAAAAGTTTTATTTCTGTATGTACATACGGGTGGGTAAATGATGTATGTAAATATGATAAAATGATGTTTTATTTACATTTATTTAAAAATGTAGAATGTTCGTTTGTCAGGTTATGGTTCTGGTAGTTTACTTATTAGGTAAAAAATAAATTAACACTGAATTACAACACTATATGACTGGAAAATGGCGTTATTTATAACATAAAAGCAACAATTATTTTTTTGGTCCTACTTTTTCATATTTCACTTAATTTTTGTAAAAAGCACAATTTTTGAAAATATTATATAAAAAAGCGAAAAGAAAAAAGTTTTATTTAATAAAGACTTAATTTTGTCGCAAATGCTTCAACCACCTACGTGAAATACTGTTTGGTTGGAACTCATCCCGACACTATGGGGCATAGATAACAATTAGAAATTGGAGTCTCTTATTATTTCCCTAACGCGTCTAGGTAACTAAACACCGATGGCCCTTGTGATCCAATCAACGGTATGTGCGACCCTGTGGTAAATTCCCGGTTGCCCCGGCTGAGCGCAGCTGTACCCCGCCGAGACGATCCCGATCAGGTACCACCGCCCCTGCTTTTGCAGCATGAGCGGCCCCCCGGAATCGCCCTGGCAGCTGTCCCTGCCGCCGTTCTTGTACCCCGCGCACATCATCTCGTCATAAATCGTCACCCCGATGCCCTTCGACCTGTGCCACCGTTCGCACACGCGATTGTCTATCACTGGCACTTGCACGGCTTGCAGAGTCTGCGGTCTCAGTCTCGAGCCGGGGCTCAAGGCGCCCCAGCCCGCTGCGACGCCCACCTCCCCCAAAAAGCTCTCCCCGCGCGGGGGAAGACAGATGGGGGTGATGTGGGGCAGCTGGTGAGCGGTGCGGTCCAACCGAAGAACAGCTACATCGAAGCGGTCGGCCTGAGGGGTGAACTTGAAAAAGGGATGCACCTGGAAATGCAATTTCATTAAAAGAGCGAAGGAGAAAAAGGCGGCGAGAGATATTTTGAGGAGTGAGTAAATTGAAGTGACAAGTTCATGCAAGAATGATATCAGCGTTTATTTTTAAAAAGTGAAAAAGAAAAGAGGATGAAAAGATATTGTGATTGTGTGGTATTTTTCCATGGGTGGCCAACAATAACATTTGTGATACATAAGTTTCAGTAAGCAAAATATGTCACAAATTTTTTTTTTAAAACACAAACACTGCAACATTTCTTCAGTCTTCTATAATTTTAAAACAGTTTCAGCACAAATTTAAGATATTTTAAGTAATTCTCCATATTCCACGTGCTTCCTCATTACCATTAATGTAATAATAATATTTTGTTTGTGTTGACTTCCTGAGTAGCTAAATTAGTTTGAATTTCTGCATTAACTAACAGAGATACAAATAAAATAAATGTTTTCTTTGTGCAAGTAAAACATGGTTGCATTTACTCGAATAAATTAAATGAACTCAAAATTGTTCAGTTCCGGATGTGTTCTCGTCTATAAGATAATAGGAAACAAGAATTTTAAATCAAAACTTGCTCACATTTACAATTTCTTCATTAAAATTTCACGAGAAAATAAAGACCTATCCTGAAAATAAACATCACATCTAAATTTTTATGTACCTACGCACTGGTTTTTACTGCTTTATCCTTTCGATTTTCCGTAAAACATGAAAGATTTGTGGGATGTTTTTTGTAAAAGCTTTAGATTTACGTTATGAAAAATATTGGTTTTGTGATATCTAATGTTATGAAGAAACAAATTGTGGCGAATAATCATTTTCAATTACTTCTTGGGAAAGAAATTACGTCACTTTAAGCAATAATTCGATATCTAATACTTAGTAATTTGTACCTTGAAACTTATTTCCGAACAATAATGAGAAATTCGATACCTTCCTACAGTTTTTTAATAACATAAAGCCACAAATATGTGAATGTGGAGTCAGTAAATGTTATTAAGGAAAGTTCTTGATAATGGACGCTAAACCGTGACAGTTCATGTAGAAGATAAATTACGAGAATCATTTTTCATTTAGAAGCCATTCTTTCTCGTTTAAAATAAATCCAATTTTCATTTAGTAGCAGTGTATTTGTTGTATATGTAAAACTACTAATACATTAATCCTATCTCATTTATTATAAAATACCTTCCCATGACGTTTTTTAATTTATAATTTTAAATTTATGATTGGAAATTTCAGTTTTGGAAATAACTTAATGGTTTTTAAATACCGATTTGAAATCAGTGTGTATAATTCATTAATCAAAGTATTGATTTATTTTTTGGTTTACTCAATAGACTAGTTCTTCAACACTAGATTCCTGAAAAATTCCCTGCATAGTTTCGTCCTAAAAACCTTTTATCTGTACCTGTATCTGAGAGACTCCAAAGGTGTAAGCCGGCAGTGGCTCTACTGCTGAGTTAATAACATAATCTCCAAGGGTGACATGCACCTGTCTGGGGGTGGCTCGTGCTACACAATGACCTGCTGTTACGACGTGACGCCTGCTGACTAGAGAACCTCCGCATCTGAAAATATGGTTGGTTGCATAAAATCAAACAAAATGTATCCGAAGTTTCTTCACATTTAGGTATTAAAATAAAAATATATTAATTTTTTAATGCTTTTTTAATAATACTAATACTATAAAATAAGCCAAAAAAATAGAGATTATTTTATTTTTTGAGCGTTAACGCAAGATTTAATAATTTAAGTCTTTCTTCTAATCAATAAAATAAAAATATCCACGCTAAACGCAATTTTACGAGACCACTCTAATACTTCACGTCCAACTTGATAGAATTTTAGACAAACTTTTCTTTCTGAATAACTGGTAATAAGTTTTGTAAGTTACCAACTAGATATTAGATGTATAGCACTAGCTGTACTAATAAAAAATATTTTGTCATAAGAATCATAAATCATAAATGCGTTGAAAAGGTAATTTTGCCGTTCACAAGATCATTTAGCCCTCATTTAGCTTTAATGTGCTGAATCAATTTAAATAATATTTTGCAGTCATGTTACTACGTGCCAAGGTTACAAATGGTAAAATACACCTTTAATTTTAATAATAAATGCATTAAAAAGTAAAAAGAACACAACACAAAGTAACACGTATGCTCAAGAAGAACAAATAAGAGAGTTTTCCACAAAAAATTTTAGGGTTTAATTTTGTACTTATCTTGACAAAATAAAACAAAGAAATAATAATAATGAATAGTAAATTTCAATAACAATTTGTAATTAATTGACCCTGGCAATGAATTATATCACCTATATTTTATGCATACGTTTCTATTGTTGCTCAATTCAAATAAATAAATATGAAATAAGAAGTCAATGTCATTTTCGTTTTAAATTCTTAATTAAAACTTAAAAATTTATGACAAAGGAATAAAATATAAGCATGTTTTTTTTCCAAAACGGTCATTACGCACAGAATTAATCTTTTGATTGCAGGATTTTATAAAAATTGATTATAAACTGAAACTTTTTTAAAACCAAATGCATACATGTATGTACATATTTAATATTTCATTCATCATAAATATTCTATTCTCCGCGAGATGCAGATGCAATTTCTATCTCTGGCAACCTAACGACCATAACTCCATAATTGTTTTTTTAGAAAATCCTTTTGTTGCATATTTTAAACAGAAATTGATGTCAGTGAATGTCGAATTGGATTCTGATATTGTCCACGAACAACAATCACGGTGTGGGTGTATGAATTTATACTCGTTCTCAATTTACACACGATTTCAGTGTAAATCATATTTAGTGGCATGATAAATGCTCAAAATGATCAAATTTATAGACAATCCAATTACCATTTTCACCCATACAATTAGAAAAAAAGAGAAAACATTCGTTAAGGAAATTGTCATATTCCATGTGAACTTGCTATTAAAAATCGCATTTTTTCCCATTCAAGTTCAGAAAAAACGAATAACCTAATTTTCCCCGTGATTGAATTACAGCGCTTCCTTTCGAAACAACAAAGAAGTGAATCGAAAATGCAGGAAACGAATTTCTTTTGTAGTTTTATTTTTTCTCCTAAAAAGCCAAGTTAGTTGTTTAATTTAATACTTAGTTTGTGTAAAGAATAATTTTGTAATTAATCCACTTTCTAACAAAGCATTACTAGGTAGGTAATGAATGTTTATTACCAATATATTACATAAAATAATATCGATGCATTATTCATAAAATATCGCAATAATGGGTCAATGAATCTTATACTAAATGTAACAAAACAAATAAAAGATCCTGCAATATTTATCCAAACATTTTGCGATAACGAAGTCATTATTTTATTACCAAACATACTCGCAGTCGAAATAATTTTACAATTGTTTTTGGAGATTTGAAAGAAATTTGCATTGTTGCTAAGTGGATCAATTTTCGTGTGTTGCACACAATGAGATGACTCCTAATAACACTGAAACGTGTCTCTGTTCACAATTCTAAAGAACTACAACTCCCTGGAGAGTCATTACGAGATCGTTTTCTTGACTCGGTCAATTATTTGATTTTATAGTGGACCTAAATAGGGAGATAATTTCGAGTTTTAATGAAATTTTATATTCACGTGCTTGGAAATTGGCCCTAACTCGGTTATAAAACCAGATAATATAAATAAAATAAACGAGATGAACATCGCTGACATTTTAATCGTGTTTCTCTGATAGGGTAATTGGATTACGAGAAAATATCAGGAATCTACAGTAGGAAATATAAAAACGTTACCTACGTTGCATTAGAAAGTTGGGTGCTGGTTTTTTACATGTACATCTGCAGGTATCATTGCAAGTCTTAGTTAAACCTGAAACGCAATTCCTGTTCTAGTTAGGTAAACTTGGGATTTCCTGAACTGTTAAACGACGTTTGTTAATTTGTTAAAAGCTACTGCAATTAAAAAAAATTCATTATTCAGATGAGAGCAAGCGGTGAGTTAATGAATAAATTGAATTATGGTTTTCCATGATTCAGCTGAAAATCCTGAAAGACATGAAATAAATAAATCCAAGTAATTTTGAAATGTACATTCTCGATAAACATTTTTCGAAACACATTTTGCAACAGCTCAATATAAAAGCGTGTAAAATATCTGAACAGCTCTATAAAGCAACGTATTTTACCGAATTTCACATTAGTTCCGTGCTAGACAATTGCTTGTTTCACAAGAATAAAATTGCTTTTATTTCCGAGTAATTGCGGTTTAGATAACATCGTAAAATTATCCAATATTCACAATTACTGTTTCTAGATTTCTAGAATGAACGAGTACATGCTATACTACATGCTATATTACACTTTATAAATTTTCAATTTTATAAATATTATTCGTTTTGTACTTTAGTTAATTTTTTTTTGTGTTATATACCTACCTTTTACAAACAAATATAACAATAATGGTTACAAAATCTGTAAAAACCAACATCAGTCTAGGTAATTGAAACGAAGAAAATTTATATTTTTGTGTGTTTCATCATTGTTTTTCTTATTTCTTTTTAAAAAATAAAAATATGAACTGAATATAAATAAATAAGGTGTGTCTTCAAACCAAGCGTAAATATTTATTTCCGTTTTATACTCGAAGAATGAAAGCTTATAAAAAATATGATTTTATCTTGAAAGTAAAGTGAACATAAAAATAAAATAACCACATTAATTTTCACACTGGAATATTCTGTCATTTAGATGTTAAACACGTTCAATAAATTAGGTGAGTAAACGATTTATTGATAACGATACGCGATTAATGACATGATTTCCTTTCAACAAACTGACCGTGAACTAAGAATGTAGTTTCATTCGCCAATTTATGGTTTATTTAAATTGAATTGAAATTCGTTAAACGTAAATACAATTAAAAAAACTGTAATTAATCCAATCTACCTTTCAAAAAATATTTTTCATGTGTACAAAATTAACATATTACATAAACAAAATTTTTAATTAAATAAAATCCCATGTAAAAGTGGATGCTGGACCATTTCCGCAAAAAAACAAAATTTATTGCTGTTGTTTCGTCGAAAATAAGGAGCGACTGAATTGGGCAAGTTTTTTTGTAGTAGAACCTGCACACATTTTGATAAGTAAATTTATGATGCCCGTTTATTTATTATTGGAAACGTATCTGCTCGTAACAATTAGCTTTTAGTGTTTTCTTTTACTGTAATTTCTAAAATTTCTACTAGGCAAACCACCGAAAGTTATCGTTTGTTTATTAGCCGTAAAATTGTAATAATCAATGTGCGGAATTTCCGAATGTTACCTGGAGGATCCGATTCGGATATAAGCCTGCCAAGGAAAAGTCCCAAATCCTGCTTCCTCGCCTCCGACAATCCTCCTTTGAGCCTGCTGCCGATTCGTCGAAATCCCGCATCCTGCAACAATACCCAATCAAGCAAAAATCGCAATGAAACTCGCATCTGCATTATTTACAAGTGAAATGTTAATAATAAACGTTAATTACTCTCAAACGTGCGTTAATTAAATTATTAGTTCCAAGCGAAAGTCCACAGATGTGGTATACTGTACTGATCACTTTCTCCACCGATTTTTCATAATGATATGCACCACCAGTGGAGATATCTCTACATGCATAAGTATATACAGAGCGGCCAAACATGCAAGCCAGCGTTCGGTACCACTTACGATAATCGGAGTCAAGCAGGCCGGATTTGGGCGATTCACGGGGTGCCTCGAGGGTACCGATCGCCAGGTTTGCGCTTTGACCGGCCTTAGAGGCGCCCCTCTGGCAGCAGCCCCGCAACAGGCCGTCGCAGGGGGACTCCAGCAGCCCCCCCGACAGCCAACATGTTAGGAAAAACTCGCACGTCACACCGGAAGCGCACCCCAACTGTGTCCCTAGCAAAAATTTTGTCAAAATTCGGTCAAACTGTGAAGGAAAAAGTTGCAAAGCGTGTCGACCTTGAGATTTCAAGTTCAGTTAAAAACCGAAAGTGCCCGATTGAAAAACTCAGCTCATGATCAGAGCTTTCACGCAAAATCGATGCATTCTATTCGAGGCAGCAATTATCATTAATTTTAAGAAAGTACAGTAATGATATTCCGGCGTGTGCCAAATAAGATACTGAATTGAAGAAAGTGAAACCACTCGAAGCCAATAGAGGTGTTTAAGCAGAAAAATTATAAGACGCTTTCTTCATTATCATTTCAAACATTTATTACGTTTTGTATTTTAATCTGTTACGTAAAAATTCATCTATTATAATAAGTAATAACCCTCAATTACCTCTATCTCGAGTATCCTGTTCCTGGATGTCTTGTAAGTTGTTATCTCCTGCTAACCAGTCAGGTTCTTCCTGATTGCCGTTAGGCTCTCTAAACGCGACTAAATCTGAAGGAAAAATCACTCGTGGTCGTCTAGAACTGGCCCAAGGGCTCTGCCAGTAAGGTTCTCTAGCCGTTGAAGGAAAATTCTCCGGAAAACCCCTCAAACGTCTCGGTAATCGAAACCCTGGCACTTCGTTAGGTGGCAAACCCAACCTTGTAGGTCTCGTAAACATACTGCGACTTTCCTCAGTATTAATGTCGTATTCCGGTCTGTAATCAGACTCAAAACCTTCCGATGAGAGCCCACTAGGTTCATACTCCGGGCGAAATCGCTCTCCCGGGAAAATAACCGGTTTGCGAAACGTTTTAAAACCCTCATCGTAAGACTTGCGACTTCTGACCGAGGGTTGGTAGTAGAATCGTCTCACGGGGCTAAATCGGTGCATTTTGGGGGGTTGGTACCCAGGGGGCAAAATCTCCCCAATGTGTTCATCGTGACTCCCATCAACTGTATCATCCCTTCGCGCGATATGTTGATCAGTGTCTTGCTTATGGTTTTGTTGATAGGTTTCACCCCCATGGATCAGTTCATCCAAGTCGTCTTTTGACAAAACTTTGAAATCTTCAACGTGATCTTCTTTGGAAATTCGTGATAACGTAGAGGAATTTCCTATTGTGTAATCGGGCTCTTGATGGATGTGCTGCTCGTAAAGCTTTAATAAGGGTCTTATGAAATCCTTCTCGAGCAACTTTTCGTATTGCGTTTTTCTTTCTCTTTGGAGAAATCGGTTTATGGCGTCATGATTCGTAGATGCGTCTTTATCACGGGAATTTTCGGGTGACTCATTTTTGATATTAATTAAATAATCGTGGAAGAGTTTCAACTTTTCCGTGTTTTGCTCAATGGTTTCTTGAAAGTTCTCTGTTTGGTTGTTTTTAGGGAGGTATTGTATGAAGGCCCCTGATGGTCTCTGTACTGGCGGGTCAGCTGCGTGTATCAGAAATATGCTCAAAACCAGTGCCAAAATGCGCGAATGTATTTTGTTCATTCTGACTCTGTTCCATTTAATTTCAACCCTCGCTCTGTCTAAACGCCCTGTCCCTTATCCTAAATTATCATCCTACGATTAAATTCTAATATCACAGTTCTTTCCTTCTTTTACAAGTATTTTAAGTTAATGCATTTTTCGAGTATTGTTTGCTTAATCGGTTTTGTTCGGTTACAAAACAAAACACAAGTCACTTGAACACATCACAGGCACCGATGAACACTAGGGGCCGACTGAGGCAACAAAAACGTCCATGCTAGAGAGTTAACTTTCACACACTCACCACTTTCACTTCAAGAGACTTCGCTCCCCATACAAACAACATGCAAGTAAAAGATTCACGGCTTTTCAAAAGTGCATAATAAATGACGGCGCTTAATAAAAATTGCACATGCTGATTGGAACAAATTTGTTAAGAATTATTTATGGCGACAACGGTAAATGAAGAGACTTGGGATTTCTCGTTACGCTGCCACAATTGTGTGACAGTCAAGCAAATCAAGCTACTTTTACATATTCAGTTTTAATGAGTCTGGTTCACCGAGACTGAACTTGATTTTGTAAATAAGAAATTCTGCTAGAGACGTTGACAAGCAGTGGTGTAGTGAGACATGGACGGGCCCCTGTTCATGATTTAGATGTATTTACCAAACAAAAATTCTAATCAAATCAAAAATATAAGAATGTTAGGAATATCATTGCGTTATTTTTTATATTTTAATGGTAAAACCCAAATTATGACTGATATGAGAATTGAAATGCGGCTAAATCTTTCCAATGTGGGGTGTTTACATAAATAAATCTTAGCTCTAAAGTTTAGCTAACTTTATTAATTATTAATTAATCAATTAATTATGTATTAAATTAAAGAAATTGAAAAATGATAAACATTAAACATTAGTAGGAAGTTTAAAAAAATAAAACAAAACACAAATTACCTGCAATATTAGACTTTTTATAATTGTAAGTGGCTCCCCGTAAAAGCTCAATGTCGTAAAAGACACGTCGTAAGTCGTAATATAAATCTTTCAGTTGATGTAAGGTTTTGTAGAAAAATACATAAAATATCAAATACCTATAATCCTATTAACTCTAAAAAAGCCAATTTTTAGGATTACAAAAAATCGCTTATATTGTTTTAAAAAACAAATTTTTGTGTTTTTATAGACTAATTATTATTAGGTACCTACCTAATTGTGATTTAAAATACGCACATAAAAAATTTATACTAATTGAAAGATTGAAGTTCATGAAATTACATTTGGAGAATAGTATTAAATGAAAAAAAAAACGATAACTAGTTATTTATTATACAAGACGATGAAGAAATTGTTGATCTACGAGTGAAAAAGTTAAATTTACGAATGACGAAGTCACGAGTGGACTTTATTATTCACGAGTAGATAAGCAATCTTGATCGTCGTGTATATAATATTTCGTTTTATTGTGTACTCACCTACCAGAATTTCTCGAATGTAAACAGTAGATAAAAATTACTTTATTTCACTTGACGATAAAAGACTACTTTATCTACTGAAATTACTTGATAAAAGCACTCCTTAACATTGAGTACAAAATAAACTTTATTTATTGTTATATTAAAAAAAGTTAAAACGTATGTATAAAAAAAGAAGAAAATTAGTTTTAGCAATAAAGAAAATTTCCGTTTTCTAAAAGGCGACTGTTAATCTTTTTCAACAATTTTTCAATATTCTTGTCGATTTAACTCTTTCTCCATTTTTTTGTTTGTAAACGCCTGAGATTGAGCTTATTTCAGTAAAATATTTCTTAGTTAAATTGTACGGAGAAATTAGTTTTAATATAAAGAAAGAAATTTTAACATTTCACTTGAACTTTAATCTGTGGGTTGATAATAAATTATACTATTGAATATTTTATAAAAATTAGAATATCACCGTGTAAATATTTTTATTTTTTGTGACGGCTGTAATTTCTAAATAAAAAGTTGTGATTATAGAATTAAAAATTAAACACATCTTTCAATATCCGCCGACACATTGTTGAAACATCATTGTTTGAGGACAAAAAATTAAATCCTTTTGCAATTTCTAATAACAGTCATTTTTAAATTGCTTGCAAATTTCAGCTTTTGTTTGATAAAAAAGTGACGTAATCTCCGTTTGAACATCTTTTATTAAATTAGAAAGAATTATTAAATTAGAAAGTAACTGAAAATTATTTGCCAGGATCACGAATAATGAATAAAATGTGAAATAAATCACGAAAGTGTAACAATCGGAGATTCGTTTCAGCATGTCACTCTTCAAATATTTATTTTTGAACCCAACCACTTATAAAATGATATGTCTAAGCCTGCAATTTACGTCAAAATTAAAACTTATCGACGCGTTTTAATTGTCGGGTCTTAAATGAATCGTTTCGTTGATCCGATTATAAAAATGAAAGGATAATAAGCACCCGAGAGACGCAATGAAGAGTCGTGTAACGAAACACGAGAAATTGAATGTAATTATTGTGGCTTTCGGTAGCCAATAGCCCGTCATGAAAAAAGCAATAAAAGAAGTTGGAGCAATTTATAAATGATTTCGACAAAATAATAGGGCCAAAAATAAGCTGCATAAAATTGCTCAAGGTTATAAGAAAGGTAATTGCGTAAGAGCAACAACATCCGTGTGCCTATATATGACCCACACAAGCATTCTTTTCGGTGGTAATTAAAGAGCGACGAGGGAGAAAGTTTTTCATTTTTGCAGCGCCCCAGACGCTGTTTATTTTCGCAAAGAAAGTCTTATCTGAAAAACAAAACCGGAGTACGAGAAAACATCCTCATGTGATAAAATCTCGTGCGATCTTCGAGGCCTAGCTTCGCTCTCAATGTTTGTTTAATTGTTCTACGACAACAATGGTCGTGTTTATTTTTTCCAACTGATTTTTCACCTTTTTAGGTTAAATAGTGCTAAGGCAGTAATTGTGCAGTTTCTTAGAAAATCGCGCTATCGTTATTATGCTGTCAGATTTCTCGCATTGACCTTTAGCATCTTTGTGTAAACGCCGAATTTGGGTTCTCATCAAAACAAAACAGCTCCCGCAAGGCATGGAACTTTTAGAAAGTGAACGCGGCTTTAACACTAAAAAATTTCCTGCCTATAATGCTCGTCACATCACTATTCTGGTGAAATTGGGCGGGTTATGAGTGAAAACCACATGTAATATGTGGGTGATTGGCCACAAGTTCAGGGAACAATAAATTGTCTTGAGTAGATGCGTGAAATACGAGAAAGAATGACACTTTCGTTTGTGCATGGTACGTGAAAATACTCTCAAAATGTGCATTTGAACTTTTACAATTCATGAACTTGAAACAGAACGATCAAAAAAATCGTAATTTCTCATTGCCTTTTCTCTAAGATCTTTGAAATGGCAAAAGAAATGAATGACAGTGATTATAAGTTGTAACCTTCACTTTAATACTTTACAAAGAGAAAATAAAAATAGAAGAAAATGAACGTTTTGGGGTAAAAATCCAAACGCAAAAAGCTCAAAATGAGTGATGATAGTGGGTGCAAATATTCCGCTTTCTTGTTAATTACCTAATCTGTTTTCGCAAAAACATCGCAAGCTAATGAGTGTGATTATCAGCCATAATTGCTCTAATTGCTGAACTATCACCAAAAAAACAAATGAGCCAATGATGCTACAAAAGTTGTTATCGTTTTAGTTTTATATCTCGATCAAAATTATGAGATCACGTGTTATTCAACACAAAAAATATCGTGGACTTCCGTTAATGTTTACCTGGAAAATGAAAGTCGTTTGACATCATCAGCTAATAATGATTGTCAATAAATTAAATTAACATTGGTTTTTTGGTAACCTAAATTGGGTAAAATCCGCACCACTTCCACTTTGTTGTTTTGCATCGGTTTTGAACTAGATTCAGAGATCTGAAAGCGTTTTTGATGTATTGATACTGACCTGGGTCAAAAGATTTTTTACAATGATAAACATTTCTATTTATTGCATTTATTAAATGAATATGGAGGATTTGGAAAGTTGCTTTTGGCGTCTTGTTGCTTTTATGTAAACATATTCATAGGCGGCGCAAAATTTTCCAAGCGACCTATTCTTACTGAAGGAAGATTTTTTCAGTAATGGTCGAAGTAAATTTGGGTCTTTCATGGGAATTGTTAATTTGTTTTGGGAAAAACAAAGTGTAGAAAATTTTCTCAACTAGTGAGTCTCGAACAAAGTTGTTCCCATCAATTACATTCAGTCCATACAAATGAGACTAAATGTTTTCCTCTCACAATGGTTCATTATAAATTCGATCTTCATACCTAATTACAATTTATTGAATACATAATAATCATAAACGGCGACCTACAAAACATTGTTTACGTTTTATTTACTGTACATATAATTTTGATTTAAGGTGTGCCTGTTTTCTTGAGTCGTTCCATCGAAAAAAAAGGAACTGAGGTAGAAACCTCGACTCACGGCCAGTTGATCAAAAACAAACACAAGTAATTCTCAGCGAAACCAAATAATTATGTGCCACATGATATGAACGGTTTAATAGCTTGTCAACTGGAAGACAGCGTTAAAAAAGAAAGTTTGCGAAAATTTCCAATTTCGCAAAATTTTGTAAAGTCAAATCGATTTTTACTTTCGACGTCTCTTTCCTGCGTGTTGCCATATTCGCAGTACACATTAATTAAAACACACGATGGCGTTTTCATTATGCAAAGAAAGTTTCGTTTAGCAACAGCAATATAGATCGTATTTGTGCGCGTGGTGTGTAGAAAGAAGTCATCGCACAGTACGAGAGAAGAAAGTATGTGAAAGTATGGCCTAGAACTTGCAGCTCCCTGTCTTGCTTATCCAATCATTATAATGTTACTGTCAAGGCCAAGTGTCTAGGCCCACAAGGAATCGTTGACGAACCGATGATTATTTTTATTATCGTTTTCACTGTCACTTTAAAGAAGAAATCAATTGAGCAAGAGCCATTTGGACAATCAAAATAACACGCGATCCTAATGTTACTTTGAAACAGCGATCACATCAAAAAGTGCTTTTCTGATCTCTTTTTCACACTTTAGTCGCTTTCAATTGGATCACATGTGAAGCTCAAATTTAGAACTTCAATACTACTTCAAAGAAAGCACCTGGAGCACCTCACTAATGATAAAAAATGTCATGTTGTTTCTGGAGTTTCTAATTCATATCATTGTTATAATAACGTGTTATTGAAGTAAAAACATTCATAATTCTAATTTTATACGTAGGTACATTACGTTTATTCATTTACACCATTTACACCCACTTTTATTGAAATCGCAAATTCATATCTTCAGTATTAAAATAAAATACGAAAAAACCTGACTTAAAGATTTCTACTTTTACATTTTACAGGTCTTGCAGAGGGTAAATAATAAGAAATAGTAAACACAATTAAGTGTACAGGATGATTCTTAAATATACCGAAAAAAATTTATCCTTGGTAGTATCAAATGAGAACATGCTGGAAAAAATATTTAAAAAATTCTTTGTTTAACCGTTCTCCAAGTAAATTTGTCTCCATTTATCCTTGGGAAGTTGTGATAAAATTTTGTCGGTCTATTTAAGAATCAGCCTGTATACCAGGTGAACAGAATTAAATATCGAACCAAACGTTTCTTGCTTAAACTATTTATTTTCTCTAAAAACTACAGTTTGTTTTTTTAATTATATGCGTGTGGATCAATTAATAATTCGAAAAACGTACCAAATAACTATCTCTTTTCAACAATTGTAAACAGCTCTGTTGCTTTCTCGCTATGTTGTATTTGCGTAAGGTCGGTCACGCTATTTATCTCACTTTAACAAATGCGATTAAAGTATCGCAGAGCTAGTGACGTACGTCAAAAGTGTGACTTACCGTCACGTAGGTCATTTGTAATTTCATTTTTAATGGAAAAAACTGTTTTGGGGCTAATATTTATACCCTCTATATCTTCATAATAATCGTAATTCAAGCCCTATTAAAATCCTAATGCCAGGGAGTAGCTTTAATTTTTGACTTTAGTACCTAAATGTCAGATGTTGTATAATGTCAAAAATAGAGAGAGGTCATGTCGTATTCTTAATTCACACTACCCCCACCAGCAATATAAACTTTAATTAATGAATGATAGATAGCTAAATGTAACATTTCCCAAAAATAAAAATATTCAAAAATTTAGCTTTTAAGTTCTACAATTTTTTTTTTCAAATGGCAACCCACCATTATATCTTTTTTTACAAAGGCTATGATTTAAGATTTAAGGATTAGCTATCTAGATTTTATTCAATTGTATCAAAAAAAAAAATTTCATGTTATCATTTTGAAAAAAAAATGCAAAAATTAAAACAAAACAAAGTTTTATTTTAACTTATTACTATTTTCTCAAAGCAAATGAAAAATGCTTGTTTTCATATTTTTTGTTCACCTCGTGTAATAATTTATAAACTGCAAATCACAACAATGCTTTGTATTTTGATAACCGAGCAAAAATCATTATAATGAATTGTTTTATGTATTAATTTTTGAGAATAACGTGCTTTTGTTTTCATTTAGCAAAAAGTGAAAAAATTAAAATAGTCTTTACCGTCCAAGAGTTAGATAACCAATAATACACAACTCTTGGACTCACGAATAGCGGAATTCTCAGATTTCGGATTAGCCCCGCCTCCAATTAGAAATTAGACTTATGTCACTTTCACTTGTCAACCTCAAATTTTGTTTTTGTTTCTTAATTTATTATTCCACTCATAAAAGCACTAACAATGCAATAAACAAAGTACCTTTACCATAAAATCAATTTCCATCAAGAGAACGGCTTGACAATACTCAAATCTGAATAATGTGCGAAAATGGTGCCGAATACACTGACACAGTTGACCCAAGAGTCCACGTAGAATTAGAACGTTTAAATAATGCCACTGATGAAATTAACAAACTGGAAGTCGAATTGGACGAAGCTAGGCACAACTTCCGACAATTACTATGTGATAGCACGGCCCGAGTTGACGCTCTGCGAGTCAAACTAGGGATGTGCGTTGAGAGGGCGAAGCCTTATTACGAAGCCAGGTTTTGTGCGAATGAAGCTTTAAAGCAGACGCAAGTTGCAGCTATGAAGTTTGAGAGGGCTAATAGTGCACACAGTGCAGCAAGGGAGATGGTTTATTTGGCTGAACAGGGATTAGGGGGGCGCACTTTGGGTAAAATCAGTCACACTTGAGGGCGCTTACGTAATTATGTGTGTTTAGATCCTGCGTGGCAAGAAATGTTAAATCATGCTACTCAAAGAGTTAACGATGCTGAGCGCGAGAGAGGTATTGCAGGAACTGAGCACAGGATTGCTTGCATGAAACATGAAGCATCTAATGCTAAAGTACAAAGCTTGCAAAAGGAACTTAAAAGGGCTATTGCTAAAAGCAGGTAGCTTTCACTATTACTTATTTCTTATTTATTTGTTTTTTTTTTTGTTATTTTATTTTGCTTTATAGTTTATCCATTAGAAGGTCCTTCATGACAATGAGTAATATTTTTGCACAGCACGAGTTAATGCTATTGTAAGTATTTTTTATTTTCGCTTCTTCTATTTATTTCAATTACAAAACAATTTTGCATAAATATTGACTTTAATTGTATTTTTTAAGGCCTTATTATGAAATGAAGGCCCATTTTAATCATCTACTTGAGCAGCAAAAATCCAGAGTCCAACACTATGAATCTCAAGTAGCTGCCGCAAAACTCACTTACGCCGAAGCTCTAAGAAATTTAGAGCAAATTTCAGATGAGATTCATCAAACTAGAAGAAAAGCCTCGTTGCTGCCACCTCCCAACAAGCAGAGAAGCCAAGATTCTAATGAGTCATTCCTGGATGATGCTCAAGAGTTTGTAGATGAATATAAGAGTCTTCCACAGACGTTGGGAGCCTCAGCTAGTCCAATCATGTCCAGGATGGACGATATAGAGGGTTATAAAAATATTAGGTTGAATGGGTCCCCGGGATCTCCGATTGAAAATCCAAGTGTTGCCCAAAGTCATTCCAGTGAATGGACTGAAATTAATCTGGATTCTTCCAGTCCTGAAGACGACGTACCGTACAGGAAGTTACAGGGAGAGGAAGGAGAGAAGCCGAGATTAGTTAGACAGAAAACTTTGCCCAATCCGAGTATTGACAATGAATTTAGTTCTCTCAAAAACAAGATGAAGCTGGATACCAGCATTTCTAATTGGATTTCAAGGTCATCGGCAAAGAACGAGGGGAATTCATTAAGTTCAAGTAAGTTTATTGCATATTAAAAATCATGAAAATAAACAATTTTTTTAATGTTTGTTTAGGTCGGCGGCAGAGTTTAGATAACATTTTGGGTCCAACGGGTGAAAAGGTCAAAGAGATATTTTCCCATGGCATGATGATGCTGAATATAAGCTCCTTGACTGAAAGAAGGAACAGCGAACCTAAGCCCGGTTTGACTGAGGAAAAAACAAGAAGCAGTGCCAAGAAAATTCCAAGTCCGTTAGAGAAAACTTTAACATATCTCACTGCAGAAGAGGATAATTCCGATACTGAAAGCCTTTCCAGGTTAATTTTTTTAATATTGTCTACATCTGGAATTAAAACTGAGCATTTTAGCGTTGATATGTTAAATGAGGATCAAATAAGCTCGCTGATGTTGGACAAAGAAATAGGAGTTGTCTGTGAGCAAGTTTTAGGGACTCCAATCACTGAAGTCGTTTCATTGCCGCAATGCGCTTCTTCTAGTCATCCAAGCAAATAAAATAAGTACAATTAATACTAAAAGATATTTTAATTTTTTTGAATGAGTTAAGTAGACATATCAGTGGATTTTATTTTTGATTTCTAGTCATCTTATGTTGCACATGGACTGTAAATGCAATAATACTTGCCTCTAGCTGCTATTATGATAATGTAATAAATTAACGCTTGTATCTGTGGTAGAACTAGTCGATGAGTTTAAAGCAATATAAAGTTTTAAGATTGTTATCAAATTTTAACTGAGAATAAATTTCCTGACGAAAAGTGGTTTTATTATTTATTTAGTAACAGAAACCAATTCGACGGCATAGAAATAATTTAACAATTCCTAGACTTTTCCAAAAGCAAAATAGAGTGTTTTTTTCGGAAAACATTTAAACCTCATTTGAAATTCGCCTCGGGTAATGTTAGAAGAGTTGAATCATTTCGCAAATGCGGAGTAAAATCGCCGTCGCCCCTCCCAAGCCGCTGCCCATGTCTTCGTTAATTCCGTGTTTATACCGACAGTGTGGCAGCACCTTTAGCAACCTGTTTTCGAGGTGGGTGTTTTTTAGTTGCGCGTTAACCATGGCAGAGAAGTTGTATGCTAAATTGTTCAGTTAAGTTTAGTTCTTAGTGTACAATCAACTAATAAACTCAACAAGTAAGTACAATAGATTTATTCTTATAAATAGACACTCGCTGTTAATATACAGTTACACTTTATAAAATTGATTCTATTAGAGATTGGTGCGGGTGAATGTTCTTTTGTACGTCGATTGTTGAAATAAATTCGAAAAAATGTTCTAAGTGAAAACCCATAGGACTCTTTAAAGGTACTTGTTTTGACTTTCTAGCGACTTTTCAGTCACGTTTATTACTTTGTCCCGAATAGAAAGGTCTCGCAGGAAATTATCCGTCCTAAAGAATTTTTTATCGCCTCTGTGACCTACAAGTCGCAAAAAAGCACAAAATTAGTTTTTTGCGTGAGTACTTTTTTCCAGCTTAAGCCGCTCTCACACGGCTCAGAGGCAGGGGCTCAAATACACTGGAAAAAATTCGTTTTATTTTCGTTTGTTATCAGCGTAATAACGGTGCTGATATTTGCACTACTTTCACTTACTTTATTTAGAAAAAATGGTCACGTTTGAATTTGTTTTGGTAAGCTCCGGGACCAAAAACAATCCGGTACCAGTTAGGCTCTGGTACGGTAAGCACGTGCATTCCGGAATTGCTTCTAATTGGAGACAGAAGTTGGGGATCAGTACGGAATGATAGCCTTGATCGTTCAATGACGATTGAAACATGTGCTATATAGACGAAGAGGTGAGAAGTTGTCTTTGGGCAAGGAATTTTTTGCAAATGTTGTTACGCAATTAAAGCTTTCACGATTTGTTTTTATTGGAAACAATGGAACTTATGGAGGTGCTTGGGGCGTGCCGCTAACACGACTCAGGGAAAACGTTCAGAATTCTTTATTAAGTAATAAACAAAAAATATTTAATTTTTATCGAACCTCATCAAGAATAATTGGAATCCATACGTAACGAACCTAATGAATATTAATATCTAAAACAATAAATTAAATGTCTGCACAATCGTGTCTTAATAACAAAATATGGGAAATTTATTAGTTTTGATACCTGGCGGAAATAAATATTACAATTCAAGGTTCACAAAAAAATTTATTTAACAATAAATACAAACCATAGGAAATGTACTCACAATAATAATTTTTTGCTAGGTACAAGATTTGGTACTGCTCTGTGACAAAAATGATTAGTCATGGAGAAATTTCATCGTGCCATCCATTTTCCTGCTTTTCTTTTTGAATTGCTCTCACTTATCTTCAAATTTGCTAATATGTAAAAACTCTTATCTTGAGCGGAGTAGATATTTGATCAATTTTTTCGTCTATTTAAATTTTACGATAGGCAGAACTAAATGGTTTGGAAAAATTAAGTTAGATTAATCACTAGTTGGGTATTTTATCATAATTATTTATGTACTTTTTAATCTCTTAATTTAGTGTTATTTTAAGTGTAAAATTTAATTTTTAATTTGAAAAGTAATTAAAACAGCCAACAGGTGAGTCAGTATTTGTATAATAAAATGTTCAATAAAATTTATAACTTACGGTCATGCGTGGTCACAATTTTTTAAATGTTAATGTAAATGGACAATTACTATCTTTTGTTGATTTGTGTTATTGTGTGCACTGGTTTGCGTTTCACTAATGCTCCTAAAAGAAAAGCGAAAAAACTAGCATGCAGTTCATATCGCTTTCTTTTGAACTTTTGACGCATTGTTTATGTTTAAAAATGGTTCAGTTAGAATTTTTAACATTTGTTACTTAAAAGTTTTTCCGATAGTACGGTTTGTTACCCATTTATTTCCAAAGATTATGAAGGAATTTGTTGTGAATGTAATCGCCATTTTAAATTACTCGTGGAATGTTTATGGTTTCGTTATATTTTTAATAAAGCCTTGCGGATCTAATTTTTATCAGCGGAGGATTATTATTATAGTAATTTCATTGTATACAACATTTTTCAGTCTAGTGCGCTGCTATAAAATAATCAATCGTTTATTGATTACAAATTCTAATTATAATTTTTACTGCATTGCAACTTAATAATTTAATTAAAACGCCTCTTTATTCACTAATAAATCCGCCGAAATTGTGACAGTCCTTTCCAATCTTAATTTGCTGTTTTACATTTGGGTTTCTAATTAAATTTGATAACAAATTTGTATTCTGAAAACAGTTACATGGCCATTTAAAACAGCAGGAATCGCATAATTAACAGGTTTTTCACTTACTTTGAGAAAATTCTGAAAATCGTAAGGTCCCCAAGCAATTTTCTAATGGAAATTGATTTTTCGCACCAAATTCTAAGCAAACACATTTAGGAAATTGCGACTTTCATATAACGCTAATTATAAATATCCGTTTTATATCATTTGTGATTGCATTCCTCGCGTATTGAAAGTGTGAAACATAGAACGTTTCGAGCTGGATCGCTTGTAATTATTTTCAATGTCAGTTTTTTCTTGTACATCTTTAGAATAAAGTGCGGTGACAACAATAGACTGACCTTAATAACAAACTAGTTCGCGGTCGTAAATTCGTGAAAATGTCCGAAAATTTAGAGAAAGTGTCAAGAAAAACGGTGCCAACGAAAATTTCATCTTGTGTTAAATCTCGTTTTTGCCTTTTCCTTTCCTTTGTCCCACTTCATGGTTTTTATTTTTGATTGTTTTCTTTCAATGGATTTTTGTGGTTTGGTGACCGTTGTTTTAGATTCAGGACGAGATATTTAATGTTTCCAATAAGTATGGAAGTCGCATTCGGGACCAGCATGTAAACGGTCATTTACCTTGTAAAATTATACAAATTTATTCGTTTCAATGCCACTGCAGATGATATCCACGTCACAATTGCTGTTTGTCGTTACTGCCGAATTTGCCGAATCATGAGGCACCCAATTATTAGTGCAAGGTTTCAAGGTTTCCTAATTTCCGTAACTCCGCACTCAGTCGCTTGGCTGAGCCGGAAACTGCATAAAACATCTTAATTGGCACAGAATTACACCTAGGCTAAGCAGCGAAGTTTTATGCTTCCTTTAGTGTAATTCTATTGTGCTTCTAATTTCGCATGATAAGTAATTATGATGGTTAGTTGCAAAAGTGCCAGGTGGAAATAATAATAAAATCTTTTCGATTTGTTCACACTGGAGCTCAGGCGACAAAGAACCGTTGGAATTGATGACCGTTCCATGTCTAGTCTATGGGTACATCGGTAAAATATAGCAATTCACGTCCGTTGAATTACATAATGCACACTTACGTATTATTTTTTATGCTTGTGGACATATCTCTCATGTTTGGATCGATTTGGCATGACATGTCGGCTTGTAACTGGAATTCAAAGAAACATAATCGAATTCAAAAGTCTATTCCTTCGATTGATGGCCTGGCATGAACTCGGTGTCTTCTGTCATTGAAGGAAACTTGTCTGTAATTACAGTAATGGCGTCGGTAATTGTTGTCTTGAAATGATAATTCGAGCATGTTTTACTTTCTTTTGATATTGCCGAGACTGAAAAACTCAAAATTTTCCATTACAGTAACGAAACCATAACTCCTTGTCGCAGATGTTTCTAGATTTAGATCAATAGTGATCGCTCTATCTGCTTATTCTTTATCTTGAGTAATTGTTAAATACTGGTGAAACTATTAGAAAGCAAATCTTAATACTTTCGTTAAACTTTTCATGCTGGAAGATCCATAAAACCATTTTTTACAGAAAACGAATCATAGCGTCTTATTTATTAACTTGTTATATCACAGATTTTAATTACTTCTAACTGTAATTATTTTTTAATTACGATAACCTACTTAACATTGTTCTATATTTTTAATTATACACTTTTCATAAATGAGTTTCCCACGAGAACCATGCGATTTTAAAAATAGGAATTGAAGATATTTACATTTTGATGAAAGTGAAATTTTGATTGCCTAATATTGGTGAAGATAACATTTCGCATTTCACTGTTGAACATCAGGTGACGAATTTTGCGACATTTGATACTGGTTCAGAAGCAGAACAGATGTGGAACGCAGGTTGTCTTTTGTTGTTGGACAAATGTGAATCTAGTGTGGGTGGATATTAAACGGATATGAAAACATTCTCTTTCGAGAAAATATTATTACTACTGATTATGACTTGCGTAAGAAGAGACATACCTACATAAGAATTGGTTACGATTAAGTACGGAGGAAATTGTTTTTGCAGGTAATGTAGGAATTGAAATTTAGAAAATAGAATTTATTAATACCATTTATGAAATGCATTCTGAATGTTGCATATCGTCATTTCAAAGCCAGTCATAAACTGTAATCCCGTTATTTTTGATTTTGTAAACCGAATAACAGTGGATACTTATGTACTTACTGTTATAAAAAATTAAAGACAATATTTACCATGTCTGTGTTATTTACATTTTAAGTAGGTAATTTTGATCAAAGTGATGCTCCGTGACTTTATTGCAAAAGTGCAGTTGTCAACCTGCTGTATGTTTTTCATAAATTATGTTAAATTGCAAATAAAGTATAAAAATGAGACGTGTTTTTATATTTAACTAGTTTGAAAGTTTAAGCCCAGTTTAAGCAAACTTTCATTCAAGTGAATGATAAATGTGCGAATAGAAACAGGCAAAATAGAACAATTTCAGATAAAACTAGATGCAATATGTCATACTAAAAAATTTTTTGCACAGCATGTAGAGAAACTATTTTTCTTGGAATTTACTTAAGAATTAAAATACTCAGTATTGCCAACACTGATTTTGTTTTATGTTGCAAAATTAAAAAAAAATTAGTTTGAAAATATTGTCATTCTGTTTTGTTATGGAAAAGAACCGCTTGTGATGTGCTCTTATTGAAGATATTTTTCAATTTTAACCTTTCTGGTCTATGAAGTAACGATAAATAAAGCTTAAAATTATCTACTTGTATCGTTAATTATTTAGTATAAAAATAAAAGATGAACTTTTCCTTTCGTGCTTCATCCATGAATAATGATTGACATTAACATTCATGTAAACATAAATAGAAAATAAAAGTTTGTTTATATTGGATTTATGATTAAATCTTACAGAAAGCGAAACATTAAAAGATTACAACCACTTTACTTTGTTTTATGTAATTAACACGCCAATCAAAAGTACGAATATTTTTCTTACTTTCGTTTAAGAGAGTTAAAATCACTGATTTAAGCATCAAGTGTTTCTTTTCAATGTTTATTTCATCAAGTTAATTACTTCGAATTCACATTTGTATATATATTAAAATTAAATAAGTGCCTCTTATTTTACTTGCTATTTCACGTTTTTATGAGTGGCACACAAACTAACCATCGTCCATCGACGGACATGTTGAAGATCTAACTACAAAACAACATAATGAAGACTAATCTATTTATGTCATGCTTTTAGACAGTAAAAAATTCAACAGTGATTTATCTTTATTAAATTACATAATTATATTAAAATTTTTGGTTCATGTTCCTTGCCCATTTGTTACATTTTTTTATCATTAATTATGAGATAAAATTAACAGAGGAAGAAACTTGGGAATTACCGAACAATTTCTTTTGCTTGGCTTCCAGGAACTCTAAATATTTATTTATTCACTCTTGGAAAAAATAAAAAAAGTGAAAGGCTTCTGGTCATTTCCTCCAAGGATGATGTGGGTACAACAAAACCTATTTTACACTAGTGACAATAATGGCATTCGCTGTTTGTTGCATAAAAGCGACGTCATGGTATTCTCCGAACCAAAATAATTTCATGGTAATTTATTCGTATTTATTTATACGAAATTGGATAAATAAAATCACGTGGCAGTAAAAATGTCATCGGCATTGTTCATCTCATAACATTTGTAGATCATCCTTGAAAGCACCTCTTGATGTTACGCAATGTTTTTAACCATTATTGTTAATAGCCGCTAAAATTTGCAACTCAAATTGTTAAAAATGGGTCATTGTCGCGATCCTCACACTCCACTTTCTTATTACGGGTCTGCAGTTTAATTTAAACAGTTAGTTGGAATTTGAATTGATTAGTGGGCACTGTAATTAAAGGGATATCCTATCTCAAAGAACTGTACTTAATTGAAGACTCAACACCTCGAATTTATTTGAATATTGTCGGAAATGTTCATCCGCTTGAAACCGGATGTCTGCGTTTAGACAAACATAAACCGGTAGTATCACATTGTAATGGAATTTTGTGATAATAATATTCATCTTCACAGTTCCTGCTGACATTTATTCGATTCAGGAAACAGTTTATCGAAACCTTGCAATTTTCTTGGGTACTTTAAATTTCACGTCGGAATCTCAAACGCTATTGATGTGTTACCATACAATAGACTTTAGCTCGAGTTCTTTCACCTCGAGTTTGCATAATTTTTGCATGAATAAAAAGTGAAAATTATATTATAAGACAATTGTTCCCACACTTATTTTCTCAACAGCATCAGTTGACCTCTTATCTTTCCAGCATGTCGACTCTACTGAAATGGGCTCAGAACACACAAGGAAAACTCAACAGTAAGAACACCAACGGAACCAGTGGGGAACGCAAATGGATACATCCACCCGAAGCCCTCCAAAAAGGCCACATAGCCTACCTCGTCAAATTCCTAGGTAACACAGTCGTAGACCAGCCAAAAGGTATAGAAGTAGTCAAAGAGGGAATCAGAAAGTTGCGATTCACCCAACAACTTCGAAAAAGTGAAACAGGTGCCAAAACGAGGAAAGTCGAACTTACGATCAGTATAGATGGAGTCGCCATTCAGGAACCTAGAACCCATGTGATTTTACACCAGTTTCCCTTGCATAGGATATCCTACTGCGCTGATGATAAAGGGGAGAAAAAGTTCTTTTCGTTTATTGCCAAACAACCAAACCAAGGTAAAAATTCACATACTTCACCACGGTTCTAACACTTTGTTGCAGTGGATAATGACGCTGAAGAGAAACACGAGTGTTTCGTCTTTATTTCTGATAAACTGGCAGAAGAGATAACGCTAACTATAGGCCAAGCTTTTGAGTTAGCTTACAAGAGATTCTTAGAAACGTCGGGAAAAGATTTAGAGTCGCAGAGACGGGCCATGATAACCCAACAAAAAATTAAGTTATTAGAACAAGAGAACAATATTTACAAGCAACGACTCTTGGATATCTCACATTTTAGCAACATCAAGCCGGAACTAGAACAATATATGAGAAAAAAAGAGATCAAGAACATCCTAGAGATCCCTCTTTCGAACAGCATCAGTCCCAATGAAAGTTCAGAACCGGTCAATGGAAACGCTAAGAATCTCGTCGACTTTGCTTCAGATAACACAAATGGAAACGGTAATGATTCATCAAACCACAGACCAAAATCTACAAGGCTAATTTTAGCACCACCGATTCCCCCACGCGCTTTTGAGAATACTCCTACTGTAGGAACGAAACTGGAAGGACTTCTTTTGAATGAATTTGAACAAGATAACGATTTTGATCCCAGATCGTTTGAAAACAACCACAACGTCTTTTCCAGCACGAATGGGAACGCCTCAAGCCCTCCATTAAGTATGTAAATGGACTTTTCTACGGTGTGTTGCTTATTTGTGATTTTAGTTGCTCCACCGCCCAAGGCGGTGAGAAGGACCAATATTAATAACAATGAAACAACCGCCGCAAGGACTGTAGGACAGGACTTGTTTGGAACGGGACCTTTTAGTCCACAGACAAATGTTTCGTCTAAGTAAGTTTTTGTGAATTTGGGGGTGAAAACTAAAAGACTTTTTCAGTGTAACGAATGATAAAGCGTTTGACCCCTTTGAGATGGGCGATTTTAGTTCAGCTGCTTCGTCGCAAGATATTGAAAATGCCATTGGACTTCTAGATAAGAGAATTCTGGAAATGAAGGTAAATTAGTTAGATCAGTTGGAAGTGTATTTATTGTTTGTTTTAGACTGGATTCAGTCGTGGAATCAGCTTTGGAAACGACGATTTTTCCCTAGAGAGTCTAGATCCTCTAAAAAATTAATCTTTACTGTGTAAATTAATTATACAAAGTATTTTGTCATATTGGCAAGTCATCTTCATCGTGATTAACCTCTAGATCAAAATCGAATATGTTATGTAGTATTTTTAGGCTGTATTTTGTTATATCAAGTATTATGAAGATGTATATCTGTTTAAAAATTTGCACTATATTTTGTTATGTATGAGATTTATATAATATTTTGAATATAAGTATTACTGGTAATTGGTTAATAATTGTTTTGTTTTTTTATTATTGTTTTGTCAAAATTGAGATTAGTGTTACGTAAAAATTCCAGTGAAAAATGACGAAACTACTTTACATTATAACATTTTACTGTCTTCTCGGTTTAATTGCGGTAAGATTTATTTTTCCTGAAAAGATTATTCTGTGATTTGTTGATAGACAACACAAGGTGATGAGTATGAGCCCCCAAAAAGCATAGGATATCCGTTTGGCGACGAAGATTTAAACGCTGATATAAGCGAGGACCGTGTGCAGGAAGAACCCAGGGAAATAAGTGTTGAAATAATTAAGGTGTGTTTACAATTGTGATTAAAATCAACGAAAAACTACAATTACTTTTACAAGGACATTTACACATTTTGTCCTAACAAAAGTGACGATGAAGAAGACCGCTTTTATGAAGAGCTACCCTACAATGATAACTCATGTTCAAAGTGTGATGTAAGACCAACAGTTGACAAAACCGGAGTTCTTGTAGAATGCTATAACTGTTCTGACGTTTCAACGTTGACAACGGCGACAGACGTTTGTTACAATTTTTTTTATATATAAAATACAAATACATTTTTAGGATTTTGCGTCGGGTGGTCATATTTTATTTTTAACCACATATTTGGAAATAGCAAATTACACTGCAAGTTCGGAAGACACCTAGTGAAGTAGCGCACTTAATAATGTACTGAAAAAGAACAAATAAAATATTTATTTTGAATTTTAAACCATTGCGCCTAAAAACGATGCGTGTTTGAGTCCTATGTGCTTTTAGCCATAAAATTGAAAATCTGAAATTTTGTACCAAAAGGGTTAAATAAACCCCTTCAATACTAATAAATAACCCTTGATGTTAAGTACATAAAATACTATTTTTTTTAGTCTCGAAATGAGTAATAACTAATAATACAACTCTGTGAACATTGGACTTCAAGAGCAGCCGTAATTTAGTTTTAAATCTGGGTTTTTTTACTTTTTCACCAACACACCAACTGTTTAGTTTCGAAAATTAATAATTCAAATTATTAATAATTTTGTTGTTCGTTAAGTTATTTTTTGGGACATATAAAATTTGTTTTATGTAATTGTGAACTGATGGTGTAGATCCCTAAAAAAGTACTTTCAAGACCCAAAAATCGAAACATTTTTGTAAATAAAGGTAAATATATCAATTTTCACTACATTTTAAGCTATTTCTAAAAAACACGGAAAACATTTAAATTCGGTTTCAAAAAGGCACCTCCATGCATTTCGTCAATTTAAATCAAATTGCCTAATGTTGTTGCTGTTGTTATTTAAGGTTATGTCAAACAAAATAAGAGGTTATGTCATGTCTTGTCTCGTGAGCAGTGTCGAGTTCTGTTTAATTTTGTAAAAATATTCGGTAAGTGTGATACTGTTATTTCAATTACTAGTTTAAAATAAATTGATAGTTTAGTAAATAAAAGAAAATGTGGTACAAACGCTTGGGACCGCACCTAAAATCACTCACGACGCTTAACAAAATCCTCAGACAAGCATCACAAGCCGCACCAAGAAAAGTCATAAACGAAAACAATGACCTAAACGTATTTAAAATCGGCCACAAACTTCACGGTTTCTTGGTAAAAGATGTGAGAGAAATTTCCGAATTCCGGCTTACGGCCATTTACCTCATCCACGAGAAAACGCAAGCGGCTTATCTCCATTTGTACAGAAATGACAACAACAACGCATTTGGAATTCAATTTCGGACGACGCCGATGAACAGCACGGGCTTGCCCCACATTTTGGAACATACAGTGCTGTGTGGGTCAAAGCAGTTCCCAGTGAGAGACCCTTTTTTCAAAATGCTAAATCGGTCACTTGCCACTTTTATGAACGCATTTACCGGCTCGGATTACACTGTTTACCCGTTCAGTACCCAAAATTTGAGCGATTATCGAAACCTGCAAAAAATTTACTTAGATGCAGCTTTTCGGCCGAATTTAAAAGAACTTGATTTTATGCAAGAGGGGTGGAGACTTGAAAATGTAAATCCGAACGATAACACTACTCCTTTGATTATAAAAGGTGTTGTTTATAACGAGATGAAGGGAGCATTTTCAGAAAACGAAAATCTCTTGGGACAGAAATTACAGAATCTTATTTTGCCTGATCACACTTATGGGGTTATTTCCGGGGGTGACCCTATGGAAATTCCCAACTTGACATGGGATGATTTGAAAGAGTTTCACAAGAAACATTACCATCCCAGTAATTGTAAATTCTATTCTTACGGGAATTTTCCGTTATCACCATCTTTGGATTACATAAACAAAGAATATTTATCTCATTACACTTATGAACCAACGAATCACACATCTGTGCCTAGACAAGCCCGTTGGAGCCTCCCCAGACGCGAACATATCAATTCACGTTTCGAAAATATGAAAGAACCTTTAGAGAGACAAAACACTGTCTCTATTTCCATACTTTTGTCCGATATTACGGAAATTTACGACACTTTTTTGATGAATTTCGTTTCGGAGTTGTTAATCAAAGGTCCAAATTCTCCTTTTTACAAATCGATGATTGAGCCGAATTTTTCTGGTGGTTTTACTTCATCGACTGGTTACGACACGCAGCCGCGGGATAGCATCTTCACTGTTGGTCTTCAAGGCTTGAAGAAAGAAGATTTTGATAAAGTCGTCGGATTATTTGATAGTACCTTGGAGCAAGTCGTAAATAATGGATTTGATGAGAAACACATCGAATCTGTTCTTCATCGTTACGAACTTTCGATCAAACATGAAACTTCAAATTTTGGTCTTAATTTGATCGTCGGATTAACACCGACGTGGAATCATAACGGTGATATTTTAACAGCTTTACAAGTTAATAAAATGATTGATAAGTTGCGCAAAGAAATGAAACAAGATAGTCATTATCTACAAAATATTGTCAAACAGTACTTTAAAGACAATAATCACCGTTTGGTTTTGACAATGTCACCTGATATGGACTACGAGAAGAAGCAGCAAGCACAAGAACAAGAACTAATAAAGAAGAAGACCGAAAAATTGACCGAGAATGACAAAGAGGTGCTTTTCAAGAAATGTCTCGAGTTACAGAAATTCCAAAAGGAACAACAAAACACTGACATATTGCCAACTTTACTCATTGAAGATATAAGTAATGAAGTTGAGAAAATTCCTCGAGAAAAAGTCACGATTAACTCAGTTCCCGTACAACTCAACAAAGTCAATTCTAACGGAATAGTTTACTTCAAGGCGCTTCTAAGTACCGTGGAACTCTCCCCCGAGCAACAAATGCTTCTGCCTTTATTTTGCTACGTCATCAATAAACTCGGCACCGACAAGTTGAATTATCGCGAATTTGACAGTCTCATGAATAGAAAAACGGCCGGATTGAACCTTGAGCCGTTTATCGCTGAAAGTTTGTTTCAATTACACAATTACGAACCTTCGATTTCAATTTCAAGCTATTGCTTAGAAAAAAATGCTGACGCAATGTGGGAATTGTGGTCGCAAATTTTCAACATTACCAAACGTCGTGATGTTGAAAGGTTTCAAATGTTGACTCAGCTTTACATGACTGATTTAACAAATGGGGTAGCCGATTCCGGCCATATTTACGCAATGCAAGCCTCCTCGGCCTTAGTCTCAGGAACTGCGTATCAAAGGGAACTGCTTTCAGGATTGCAACACATACAATACATGAAGAGATTGATGGGTACTTCGCACTATAAGGCCGTCTTGGATGAGATTCTCAATATCGCTAAAATTATTTTCACCAAAAATAACATGAGGTTTGTTAAAAAATCATTTTGCAGTGTGCGGATCTAATTAGGGATTTTGTAGGTGTGCGTTTAACATTTCCCAGGAAAATCAGTCAAAAATCATGAAAACGTTTGCCAACTTTACTAAACAAATTCCCGAAAGTGGCACAAAGCCCACTCAGGACCGCAGCTACGTCGAGGGTAAAGTTTGGGCTCCTGTCAGCGCTGTTAACTGCCAACATCACGTCTTAAACGTTCCTGTGAATTATTGCAGTAAGGCTATACTTACCTCCCCTTACAACAATAAGGACTATGCAAGATTGCGGGTTTTGGCGCGGCTCATCTCCGCCAAATATCTTCATCCGGAACTGAGAGAAAGACAGGGGGCGTACGGCGGGGGCGCCAGAATGACAAACGACGGCGTTTTCGTCTTTTACAGTTATCGTGACCCTAGAAATCTGCAAACTTTGGACGTTTTTGATAGTACCTACAAGTGGTTACAGGAGAATTTGGATAAAGTGACTCCGCAAGAAATTCTGGAGTCGAAATTGGGCGTGTTTCAAGCCGTAGATGCGCCGATTCCGCCAAGTAAAAAAGGCTGTGATGAGTTTCTGAGGAGGCTCACACCGGATGTGCTACAAAGACACAGAGCGGAAATTATGTCGGTTGATAAGAACGCGTTAATAAGTGTGACGGAGAAGTATTTAGTTGAGGGTGATCCTGCGACGAGGGGAAAAGTCGTATTAGGGCCAAAGAGTGACAAATTTGATACGAGTAGTAGGTCTAGCGAAATGTGGACAGTTATGGAAAATGAGTGAAATTTCATGTACTTGTTAATTGATCAATAAATTCTGCTTTGTTGTATCGGTTGTTTTTTATCACCTGTGTTTATTACAGAACTAATTATGGCGGTACCACCATGTTTTCATTCATTCAAGGAGTACTTTGATGAAGTTCTTGAATTTCTTAAGGACTATCAGTGGGTCTACAAATTTCCCAACACGCATGTCTTAGTGAATAAAGTGTTTGAACAATTTCCTGACGAGTGGATCCCGTTTTTGGGCAATTTGACCAATGGGGAATTAAATAATTTATCATTGGGTCATTTACCGGTAAGTAAATGGAGGATTAATTTAATTTAATTAAATTACAAAAGAGGAATTTAAATATCGCTTCACCGAACTAACATTTTAGGATAACGCACCAGCTACACTGAAAGTTTTTTTTGAAAAAATTAATAAGTTAAAAGTTATGGTTGAGAAAAGGCCCGTTAGTGAGATTTACACATTTCCAAAAAATTCCGGCTTAAGTAGAAAAAAAGAACATGAAATTGTATCATTGACTTCACTCATACACGAAATTTATGAAAAAAACAATTGTGATTTAATTTTAGATGTAGGTACAGGTCTTGTAAGTACATGAAAACAAACCATGACCCATGTTGTTACGTGAATATATTTCAGGGTTACCTCCCCAGACTTTTGTATCAAAAATACAAATATTGTACTTTGGGAATTGAGGGAAGTTCTGAAAAAGTTCGACTAGCAAAAATCCAACAAAAGAAATTTCCCGAATCTACAGATTTTGTAACGTTCTATGAGCATTTCATAACACATAAGTCCGACAAACAAATAAAGGAAGTACTAATGGAATTCCCAGCGAGTCGTGTTTGTGTAACAGGTCTCCATGCCTGTGCTGATTTAAGTGTGATAATGTTAGATTTATTTACAAAATTAGAAACGGCCAAATCTTTGGTGATTATGCCGTGCTGTTACCACCGATTAAGGCAAACCAACGGCAATTTTGATAACTTTCCCGCCAGTAAATTGCTAAAGGAATCGGTTGGTTTACATGAGCTTGGTAGTGTTCTAAAAGTGCCGTTTTTAAGACTGGCGTGTCAGAATTCTGGAAACGGTTCGAAAGATTTCACAGAAGAACAACATGAAGAACATGCCTATAATTGCTTATTTAGGGCCGTTTTGCAAGATGTTGCCGAATCAGGTTAGTGTTGAAAAACAATGACTTTATTTTAAAAATTGTGTGTATATTTTGTATTACATATTAAAAAACAACAATTTATACTGGGTGATTTTAAGGTATGTGCAAATATTTTAACAGGTGATGGTGGAGCTCAAAAGAAGTCAAAACAACCCAACTTGCCTTATCTGAATGTTTATTCAGGGTGCACCATTTGCACTTCTGCATTTCTGAGCTCCACTATCACCTGTTTAAATATTTGCACAAACCTTAAAATCACCCTGTATATAAGACTAGAAACTATTAAAAAGATTTATTACAATAGCAGTTTTGAGGTTTACATAATTTAGTACCTAGGCATTAAAACAAAATTAAGTCGTAACTTACAGAAACAAGCATTGTTTCAAAACAGAAAAATGTACAAGTAATATTTACATACAAGTGCTAACAACATAGGGAAATTAAACAATTGCAATTCAAGGACATTGTTATTAAAGCATAATTTGCAAGTATCTTTGGTATGAAGGAAAAAAAGTAAGACACTTTAAGTAATTAAAATCCTATGTAGATATGACGCAATTTCTTGCACCTAGGATAAATACTTATCGAGAAAACTATTACTAACTAAACATTTATCTAGATGGTTTCCAGACCACCATTTCACAATGTCACTGTAAGTTTTGTGTTTTATAGGCTCGTTTAATTTTTGACATAGCGTACAAAGTGTCTGTTCACTGGAAGTTGTAACAACGTAGTTTTTTTTCCATTCGAAAAATTTTAGATACTCTTCGGGGTGTCTATCTAGAAATGCGATGTAATCAACTAACATTTTAACCGACATGAAATCCATCACATTAATCACAGATTTAGGCGGCGCGAAGGTGTTATATTCGGCACCTCCGTACACAATGGGCACTATATTTCGTTGCAAAACATTGTACAACTTCTCCGTAACGTAATCCTCACAAAGTGAATTTTCAAACGAGAGGTAAAATTTGTAGTCTCGTTCCACCATATCATAGCACGCTCGACTAGTATTTCTCTCACAACGTAAAGTACCACAACTCCCGTAAACGTCCACTTGTATGTATTTCTGTATTTCGTTGTACAGTCGATCTCTTTGACTTGTAGTACCACAATTGGAGACAAACCACGCGATTTTTTTTGGCCTTTTTTGAATTTCTTGAACCGTTGGTACCTTGTAATTGTTTTTTTCCCTCACGAGGAGTCCATAAGGGCGAAAGAGATCGGAATCCAATCGATAAGTCATCGTCCAGTTGTAAAAGTTGTCAAAATCCTTGATGAAGGAGGGAGTGTTCATTGGAGATTCTTGATTGGAGAAGACGTATATTTGGTTAGGGTTTCGTTTTGCTGGTTTGCCGAACCATTTCTCCTGATATTCTACTCCGTGGAAGATTATGGCGTCGAATTTTTCGACTGGAAGTTCATCTTTAACGTACGTGGTGTAACAGTTGTTGTAGGTGCAATTTTCGAAGATTTTTGACCCTAATCCGAGGTAGAAATCAAGACTTTGGAACATTGGTGTCCAGTAAAGGATCGTTTTAGTGGCATTATTACTCACAAAATTTACTTTGGCGTGATCCTCGATGCGTTTTAATGTGTATGGTGGCGTTAATCCAGCTCGGTATCGTGATAAGAGGAAGATCGATGCTATTAATAACCCAAAAATGATAAAGAATAATTTACGAAACGTTACCATTTTTCCTTATTGGTCAAAGAGCGCAACAACTGAACTTCTATCAGTAGAGTCAATTTGTTAACTGTTTTTAAAACCGCTGATACCATGGTCGCATATTTCACTACTTATCACTTTTAAATAATTGTTAGTATTTCTTGCATTTATTTACTGATCGGATAGTGTGTTTCATTGCCGTGTTAACGTGTTTATACGAGTAATTGTCACTTTCTGTCTCATTGTATTCTTAATCGTGAAAGCATGAAGAATTTGTCTTTTATCATTTAAATCTGTTACAAGATCAGTTTTTATTGGCGACCTGAATTTAATTTTTGTAACAAAACTGAAAAAAAAAACATCGATGGTATTATTAAATTAGTTATGCATTAATGACAAAGCTTGAGTAACTCAATTTGGGATGGTTGAGCCAGCGGTAATTAAGTTTTCAATCAAAATTTTGTCTATTCGGTGTCACTTGTTGTAATACTATGTAATTACCGAAAAGCAATTATAAAATCGATTTTTTTAACCATTTAGACAGAGAGTTTGCAATTATTAAAAAAGTTATAAAAACAATCACTTACCGACAATTCAATAAAACGTTGTATTAAAACATTTCAATAGCTGTTTGAAGGTCGCTATGAACAATAAAATTTTCAGTAAAATTTTACATAGTACAAGTACAGCCGTGCACAGCAGTGGCTAACAATGAAATGTAGGCTGTTGTAACGATAAAAATATCGTAAACTACATGAGACACGCATTAATAAAGTGTGAGTATTCATTTTATCTCGACTTACTGTAGGGTTTTTTCTTGCAGAAAATTGGCAGGTGAGACGATTAAAACGAAAATCCGGAAAGTCGATGCAGTTAAACGGCGAACCCTTCGAAAATTACTTAACCAACCTGAAACACACCCACACCCTCGTCGGTGCTGAAATAACCGATCATCAATTCTTAAGGAAAATGCGTGAAAAATGGATGCAACATAAAGGAAATTCTCACCTAGTCGAGGCTTTGGCCGCGTTTCAAGCTGCCATGCAGGGTGTATGTGAGAACGTCGTCCTTTTGGACAGGGTGGTGTTTTTGCACGAGAAAGGGGTTGACTGTTTTGTTGTGAACGTAACGGATAGGGGGATATCACCCAGGTGTCACGCCCTAGTAGCCACGAAGCCGTAAAAGTGACTTTGTAGAAGTGTATGATATTTTTTCATTTATTTCTAAAGGTGATGTTTAACGGCTGTCACCGGCTTGTTGGATTATGGAAAGTGCCAATAGTTAATTCAAACGGGGATTTACATAAATTATTATTCTTTTTACATCTCCCAATAAAGTCTTGTTTCAAAAAAGGTATGTTTTTTATTGGTTTCCTTTAATTTTATTTTGCAATATTATTCGCAATAAAGCAAAATATTTTGAGAAACTTTGCAGTAACGAAACTCAACGAGACACAAGGTGATTGTTGGAGCGAAAAATAATGCAACTTGCTGACTCAGATTTGTGCGCTCCCAATTGATTGCTTTAACTCGAATAACATTGTTTGATTATTTTTTTTATTTAAAGGTGACTATGAATGATAAATTACCTCCATCCTTGCGCATTGATAAAGTTGACTACGCACTTATTTTATTCGGATTACTTGCAATAGAAAAATCAATAATGCACTAAAAGAAATTAAAGGATTTCATATCCTTTGGTTAATTTAATAAATTCAGACTTGTACGAAATCACGAAAAAGAATATTTTTGGCTTTTTTTTGGAGCCTTATTAATATATAAAACACAAGTTTTAATTTAGTTTAATTAATTTTTAGAATTGCTTAGATTACATACAGAGATAAAATGTGTGTATTTTTTCGTGATTTAATGTATTTACTTTGTGAGGTGTTGCGCATTTAAAAGTAATAATGTTTTATGTTTTTTGCAAACAATCTCTCCCAACTTTGATCTCTTAAAATAAAGATTAAATTCTTTACTGCTTAGATGAAGATGACAAACATGGTTTTGATTTTTTATGCTTGTTATACTTACCGTAATTTTTGTCTTATATCTAAAATAAGTACTTGAAATAAAAAAATATGAGTGCTAGAAAGTGTGAACATAATCATTTATTGCACACGAAATACATCAACTCAGTGTACAGTTTTAGTAACAAAATAATTGGAAGCAACTGCGCCTCGCCCCCAGCCCTA